ATTGATGAAGATCACTATGTGTATGTCAAAAGAGTTGTTAACAAGTTTGTAATCTTGTCATTCTATGTGGATGATATTCTATTGGCTAGAAATGATAAAGAGTATACCAATATGGTGAAAATTAGTTGTCCTCAAATTTGAAATAAAAGACATGTACAAGCAACTTACATATTTGGTTTAAGAATAAAAAAAGATTGTTTCAAGAAATTATTCTCTTTCACAAGAGTAATATATTAAGAAAATTCTTGAATGATTTAGTATGTAAAACTATAAGCCAATTGATATTCCTATGGCAAAAGGTGAAGGCCTGAGCCAAAGAATATGTCTTGGGACTCCACAAGGTAAAGGAACAAATGACAAAAGTTCCTTACTCTAGTGCTATTGGAAGTTTAATGTATACCATGTGCACAAGGTTGAACATTTGCTATTTGTGAGCATGGTAAGCGGATATTAATCTAATCCAGATCAATCCCATTGCAAAGTTATGAAAAAGATATTAAAGTATCATAAAGGCACTATGGATTATTAGTTGCATTATCAAAAAAGTGGTTTGCATTTAATTGGCTATATGGACATCAATTGGAGAAGAGATTTAAATAAAAGAAAAATCTAACTCTGGCTATGTTTTCCTTACTAAATATTGGATTATGTCTTGGATAAGTAAGAAAAGACATAAATAGCATTATCCACTATGTAAGCTGAATTTGTAACATTTTCAACAACAATGCAAGAAGTTGTTTGGCTTATAAGATTTTTGAATCTTTTAGGAATTGAGAAAGATTAGTCTAATCCAATGTTAGTGAATTATGACAATCAAGAAACAATTACATTCACAAACGGATCCCAAAACTAAGACATAAAGATACCAAATATAATTTTGTGAGACACAAGGTTGCATAAAAGAAAGTCAACAAGTACATTTCCATATAGAGATAATTGTAGATGCATTAACTAAGCCCATGCTTAAAGATATGTTTCATAGCCACATGAAGTCTCTAAAGTTGCGTAGATATAGATGTACAAGTTAAGATGTTCCATGTGAACAATCTATGATTTTTTTCATTTGAGTTGACTTATATTGAATGTGATTAATGCCATTAAAGCTTAGTACTTTGTTTTGTAAAACATGCACACACACACACACACACACATATATATATGAATATGTACATATACGATATGATTTGAAAGGTATGTTAGATAGATGATTGGCCTTCTCACATAGGCAATTAACTAAATGATTTGTCACCATAGAAATGAGATTAGTTTTAAGCCATGGATTGAGGGCCCAAGCTTAAAATGGAATTACCTTGATAAGAGATTAAGATAAAGTTACTTGGTATTGACATTTATACCAAAAGTGAATAATTCCAAAATTCACTTTGTCTGTCTTAAATGCTAGGTGGAAGTCAGGTTGACTATATGAAATCAAGTAGAGCTTTAGGCCCAAGTTAGATACTAGGAGTATTCTAACTATCACCTATATGGTATTGATATCTAATGATAAAGACATATGCTACATAGGAAAAAAATAATAACATAGCATATGTTTTATACCATATGTGCATTGTTCGACTAATAAGGATAATAGAAGAATAAATCTTTGTTTCTAGTTATGTGAGATCTTTAAGATGGAAAGATCTCATATTTAGTACCTTTAAAGACTTTCAACTGTTTTTTTAATTTAATGTTAGCTATCTTGGAATGTTGCCAATGATTATAAATGATTCAATCTAATGAAACATATCAGGATAGCAATTGAATTGAAATGGCAAGATTTTAAAAGAAAGGAAAATCATTCTAGTGTCACATTTAGTTGTATTCATAAGCCGACTAAATATGTTTGAGACATCTAACATAATTGAGAATACACAAGTATATCCTGCAATATGATAAAAGAAAGATCGTGAGGATTTTAAATATGACTGAATGGATCTGAGGTGCTGCATGCTGACTTTACTTGCACTTAAGAGATTAGGGGTACTGCATGCTGACTCTACTTACACTTAAGAGTTACTATACATACTTAACAGTTGTATAAGTGACTAGATGTGATTTTAAGTTGCTATATGCACCCAATAGTCGCATACCAAGTAAGCTTTCAAAGTATGCTAGTCGCTCTACTTATTTCTTTGTATAAACTCGTTATGAAGGGTAGAGAAAATGTTCTTTTGATCATGAGAGCTTGCCACCAATTTTATGCAAGTGAGAGATGTTGAAGTGTGGGTCCACCCATTTATGGGTGGCTTGACCATAATATGTGGTAACTGCCATAAGGTAGTTGCCTCTTGATATAAAACTACATTAGGTGGTTATTCATGGTTTTTAAACAATGAAAATCATGCCCTTTCTCTCCATTAAGAGTATGGCATTCGACCATAAAAGAAAAAGATGAAGAAAATGTTCTAGAGAAAAGGGCAAGCCTATTTTTCTTTCAATATTCATTAGGGAATTCAACCATGATTAAAAAGATGAATATGTTCATCCAAACCAAGTATGAGACGAGTCTCATTCATGTGGAATTATGTGATATGTCACATAAAAAATAAAAAAGGAAAATAGAGAGATCGCCATAGAGAAGGAAACTTTCCTAGGAATATCATGTTTTGATATTTAAAGACTTACACTATGGATAGTGGATAATTTTCGAATGTATGATCTTATACCTGACCAATGAATTAAGTCAGCGTCGCTTCCACAACACTTCCATAAAAATGCTTCTGTTGTGATTCTGCAAATCATGTAAGTCTTCCGCATTATTTATGGTATATGATCTTGCTCATCATATTATTAGATTATCCTTCAACTTCTTTAGCCTATGTTTAGATTGAAGTTAGTAAATGAAAAGAAAGGAAAGGAAAATAATGGTTTCTAAAAGAAAGGAAAGATAGTTGATTTGCTTATTGGAAAGCTAAAATGAGTAAAGGAAAGGAAAGGAATGGATTGATCACAAACTTTGTTTAATTAAATTCAGAAAAGAAAAAGAAAAGAAAGGAGATATTATGTTATATTGTTCCTACTATACCCTTTTAAAATAAATATTTTTCTATCATGTGAATAATATTGATATTAACTATTTTAAATAAATTTGAAAGTTAATGGAAATAATTTCAATTAAAGAGAATATTATTAATAATTAATTCATAAAATGTATGTTTGAAATTATTTTTATTGTATAATATTTTTTTTCAAAATTAGTCCATAAATGAGAAAATTAAAAACTTAAATATTTATTATTAAAATTGTACATGTTTCATCATGTTCTTTTAATTTTATTATTTAGAATTTGTGAAGTGATAACAAAATGAAAAAAAAAATTTAAGACCTAAGTATAAGTTAAAAAATATATAGAATTTGAAATTATTGACAAAAAAAAGTTGAGAAATGGATTGCAAAAGATTTGAAGGTAGCATTAACGTTATACTTGAATATTATAATAATATTCTTTCAAACATGATAAAATATAATGAAGACATGAAAATCATTTTATATTTAAAATTTTTATACTTTTCTTTTCTTCCACTTTACCCTAATTTATGATAATTAAAAATTTAGGCATTTGAGTAAAAGAGAGAATCCACAACTTCTTTTCTTTTCATTTATTAAAATGTAAATGATAAACCAAACAAGATAAAAGTTTCCTTCTTTCCCTTGCTTTTTTTCCTTTCCTTTTTTCCCTCACCTCCCATCAATCCAAACGTAAAATGTTAGTAAAATGGTGAAATTCAGCCCAATTATGCTCCTTTTCAAGTTTGAGAATGTCATAAAATCGTGAACTTCAAATTCTAAAGTCATAAAAAATTAAATTCATAAATCTTAAGTCAAAGATTTAAAATACAAATTCAATCCAAATTTAGGCTCCTAAATTATTTGGTTGGAGAGCATTTTTTTTGTTATTTTTTCCCTTTTTTGTTATTATTTACTTTGAATTTATATTTAATATGCTCTTAGTATATAAATATCATACGTTACCATGCTTTCAGATTTTTTTATCTTTTAACTTTTCACTTATAATTGGAAAAAGTAACAAAAGTAAAATCAACCAAGGAGAGCCATAGTAACAGAATGAATTTATTATCCAGGAAATTATTCCTAACTTTCCTGAGTGGTCAAAGATAATGAAGACAAAAAAGTGAAAGAAAGAAAGAAACAAACAAACGAGAAACAAGAGAATGAATAGCAGTGAAATATAGAAGAAACGCGAAGGGCATGTTGTTTGCTCTGCTTTAGACACAAGGTCTATTTACCTTGCAGTTTTAGAAGCTTTAAACATTATATTTTATGGGGACGAAGGCGAACAGGAAGTCCTTTCGCTGGCATTGGCATTGGATCCACTATTATCTTCTCATCAGGTAACAGCTTTTCCCAATTAAACCTTTTTATTACATTGTGCATGAACACAAGTATCTCGAGACGAGCATACTCTTTTCCAGGACACATTCTCGGCCCTCCTCCAAATGGAACATATGTATAAGGAGCTGGTCACTTCCCTTCAAATCTTGCAGGATCGAACTTCTCAGGCTCTGGAAAGCACTCGGCATTTTTGTGTCGTTGAATTCCACATTCAAATGTAGACTGAATCCATTGAAAATCAGGAAGGTTGTTTGTCAATTAAACAGTAGATTAATGACATGGAGTTGTAGTGTAGATTTAAAAGGAAAAATGAAGTAACCTTCCAGCCCTTGGGAATGGAGAAACCAGCAAATGTGAAGTCGGTGATAGCCTCTCTGAAAGCACCCTGAAGTGGAGGAGCAAGTCTCATCACTTCGCAGGCAACATTCCATGAATGTTTCATCTTTTGAATGTCTTGCCAGTTTAGCAACTCCCCTGGTTTTTTTGATCTTGCAATTTCCATTTGCTCTGCAAGACAGGAAAAAAAAAATGAAAGCATACATTAGTGTAGATACACGTTTAAAATGAATCTTCTACAATTCATTACGATTTGAGTAAAACAAACTTAGTTATTTAACCTTTCCACTAAATAGCCTTAAACTATAATACTATAGAACAAACATTCTCAAGAGAAGAAAAGGGTTTAGAAAATTACCTTCGAAAACCTCATTGTAGATATTAGGAAGCTCAGCAAGATACTTGACAATGAAAGTAATGGCAGCACTAGCAGTGTCGTGGCCACCAATCAACAAACCAAGAATCCTGTCAGCTATGTTCAATTCATTCAAGTACTGCCCATTCTCATCAGTTGCAAGCAACATGTGAGACAAAATATCTTGATTTGGGGCTGCATTGTTCTCTACAAGATCAATCTTCCTTTGCTTCATGATCGCCATCAACTCCTTCCTGATCAATTCTGAAGCATTGATAGCTCGACGAAAAGGTGTCCCTGGTAAGTTTATGGGGACAGAAATTATTCCAGAAGCCAAAACATTGAAATGGTCGGCAAATTTAGAAACACGCTCTGGGTCCTCTATGCTCAAAAACACTTTGCAAGCAACCCACAAGGTATATCTCTTTGCAAGACTAAACACTGTTATTTCTTGCTTTCCTTCCCAACTCGCTTCAAAGTGTCTTTGCGCAATCATATCCATCATACCTATGTATCTTTGCAAGGCTTCTGGTTTGAGAAAATTAGGTAGCATTTTCCTCATCTTCTTTGATTCTTCTTTTGAACTTGTTTGTGTAGAAGAAGGGAAAATCTTGTTGACAGAATCTGGCCACCAGGCAGTGACAAGCTTGTTTTCATTGGAGAACAAGAATTTGTTGCCAGCTGCGCCGCAAACGACTGCCATTGGTTCTCCGAGTATTGAAGTTTTGAATACCTCTGAAGAGTATTTTGCCATTCTATCATTTAAGAACTTCTCAGGATGCCCTTGTCGACCTGTTAAGAGGTATTCAAGGCTTTCACCAATCAATGGCAAGCCCATTCTACCGGGTGGAAGGTTAGGGTGAGAAGCGTTAGATTTTTTGGAGTATACGAGGAATCCGAAACAAATGGCTGCAAAGAAGATTGTACAGAAGAGTAAGATGGGATCCATGTTTGTTGATCGAATTGGTTTTGATTTAGTTAGCCGCAGTTACTGGTTGCAGATTACAATGATCGATAAAACCGGGGCTTATATAGGCAAACCTAAGTGCCAATTCTTCACTACAGAGCATATAAGAGGATCTCATTGTGCGTTAAACAACTATAATTTAAGAAGTTTGACGCGGGACAAATTATGAACATTATTCTTTTCTATGTTGTTTTCTTCTTGTGGGCGGAATAATCTATGGCTCCATTAAGACTAATTTATGGAACAGATAAAAAAGGGAATAAATAAAAAGTTTAAATTATTTAGGATAATCTTAAAAAATAATTTTTAAAATTTACAAGTCTAAATTACAATTACAATTAAATATTATAATTGCAATTACAATTATAATTAAGTATTACATTGAGATCACTAATATTCAAACAAATGAAATAACCAACAATCATAAATTTAATATAAAATTAGAATCAAGTCCACACACAACGAGATTAACACAAAATTAATTCTATTCACTCTGTTACTTTAAAATTAAAAAAAAATTATAGCAGCTAAAAAATTACTAATTAAATATTAACTTAAGGAGAAAAGCAATTTATATAAATTGTATTTCTTTCGTAACTGCCGATAATGGTATTTTTCTAAAAAAAAATAAGTTAAAAGATTTCATTATAATGAAGAAGAAGTTACGAAAGTTAAAGTGCATGAGATTGAAAAAAAAACCAGAAAAACTAATTAATTAGCGTTTTAAGATTTTCTATTGCTACAGTAATCTATCCTTGCATATTATTATCTTCCAAGTTTAAGAATTCTAATTTTAATAAAAAGTACTGTAGACATTTAATTTTATATAGATGTACCTCAATCAAATTTATTACTTAGGTTCAATAAAATCCTTGTTTGTCTAAATAAGACTTCAAGATCCGAATTTCATGTTTAAGCAAAATCGATTCGTTTTATAAACTTTTTGGCTCGATCTTTTAAATCAACTTGGATCTTAGTCCAGATTAGATTAAATATTCCTATAAATATTTGCTTGAAAATTATATCAGCTAAAAAAATTAATAATTAGATATTAATTTAAGTTGGAAAACAACTTATATAAATTGTATTTCTTTCCAATTACCTATAATGGTATTAGTAAATATTGACATTTGATTTTGAAAGGCCAATTAATATTATAATGGATCTTAATTTTTTTTCAAATTTATGTTATCATATTATTAATATAAAAATATATACTAAAAATAGCTTAAAAGTTTTAAATTTTACCAATTCATAAACAAATGTACAAAGAAACATAATACATTAAATAACTATTTTATTTAAAATAGTAAACCTATCAAAACCAAAACCTATCACACCCTGTAAACCTATCTGTAAACCAAAACCCATCCCCAACTTTACCAAAATCAATCTGTAAACCTATCACACCCTCCCAAGCTTCAAAAAAAATTTAAAAATAAAAAACCAAAAAACCCATCAACCCTGCATCTACCCGAAAATCACACAACCCAAAACCAAAAAAAAAAAAAAAAACACAAAAAAATCAAACATCCAAAAATAAAAATCACAGCTCCTAGAGTAGGGACCCAATGAAAAAAAAATGAAAAATGCCAGAAAAATTAAAAAATTAAAAAAATCTTTTTGGCCAAATGCTTTAGAGGCAGATCTAGGCATTTGGTGAATTTTCTAGCAAAATAGAGGTCCAGACAATGAAAAGGGGATCAAAAGGTTTTTCTGGGTGAAATTTGGTAAAGAATTGGTGCCTGCAAGCAACCGCCGACAATGGCGGTCGGTTGGCTTGGGGATCACTGGATTTTGGATTGGTTGAGAGATTATTTGGCTCTGAAGTGTTTTTTTTTTTTTTTTTTGGTAGAAGGAGGGAAGAAATAAACTGAAAAAAAAAGTTTGGCTTTTATACAAGAGGAAAACACCTAAAATGATGTCGTTTCACCTAGGCAGGAGACTCACGTGATGAGCCGAATCCGACTTGGGGTTTGAGCACCCAACTTAGTGACTTGTTTCTCCTATCAACCTTTAGCTGATCCATTTGAATCCCCTGAGAATCAATCTACTTTTGTTCGAATTGGCTAGAACCATCCAAACCACATGAAATTGGCAAAAAACCCACTAGACCACTCCTAAACCGATCAAACCTCCCGTGGACCGTTGACCCACATCGATCGATTAACTTTTGGTAATTTTTTTAATTTTTTAATTTTTTAATTATTTCAATATTTATTATTGCATATCTACATTTTAAATGCCTAGAATAAATGTATATATTTTAGAAAATTAGAAAATTCATGTTTAAAAAAATTAATAAATTAAGAAAAATGTGCATGAAAAAATATGAAAAAGTGTAAACAATAATTAAAAAATAAATATAAATAAATAAATAAATAATGATAAATAAATATAATAAAATAATAATAATGAAATTTCCTAAGGATAAGATCTTAAATACATTCAACTAGTGATTTTATAGGAATCTCTTGGTGAGAAAACTTATCTAAAATATCGTAATGTATTGCAACATTTAGTATAAGTAGAACAAGAAGTGAATTTTTAGAATTAAATCATAGGTATCATAGTTATTATATGCATTATAAATATTGATTTTGAAGGTAAACACGAATCACCGAGGATGAAATTCTTGCAAAATTTGAGTTGTGATTCTTAAGAAATATTTAGGTGAGAAAGTTCCTTTTAATATTGTCAAAGTATTAGAATATTTTTAGAGATTTTTCACTATGTAAGGTTCTTATTTATTTTTCAAGCAAACAACTAAAAAAATATATATGTTTTTTTATTACAATAAAGAAAATTAAGAAAATTAGGTTTAAATATCGAAGGTAACATCACTTTTGTTGAGATTAAAGGATAACCTATGGTTAATTGGCACCATCCTTAAAACAAGCGTTATGTGGATGCTAATTTTTTTCCACACGTAATTGTACTCTTAAGCCCAAACTGTTTTCGTAGACTAAAAAATTATCTTCTTAATAAATTTTAAGATTTTATTAAAAAGGTAAGTTTTTATAGGTGACTAAATACACTTAGCCAAAAAAGATTGATGGCAACTCCATGTGCTTTTAAATTCATCTAACGGCCATAAAAATAGTTATGATAGCTTGGCAACTCCGTTAGAGACGTCTTTCTTTTTTTTTAAAGAATCAAGCTAAAAAAAAATTAATCATGTGTTATCCTAAATTTTGATTTAATAGTCTTAATTGATGTTAACTTTAATTTTCTTAATCTTGATTTTGGTTTTTTAAATAACAAAAACAACAACAATAACAACAACAACAATAACAACAATAATAATAATAATAATAACTTGCATATCATTTTAATCATGTCATTTATTTTATGTTTCGTATGTGTTACTATTGTTATTGTAAGGTACTTAGAAGAAGGATTATGATACTTTGTTCTCTCATTCATACAACACATTCATACCATACATAAGTTTTATACCCGGGCTCTAACCCTTTTAGAAAGGAGTAAAATACCTATACTCTTGTGAGGTGATAACCTTCGCAATGACAAGCAAAATACTCCCACTCAAATTAAACCATTTTCATGTATAGCCTATAATGGATAAAGATCAAAGTGCCTTGCTAGTCTCGTATAGACACCAGTGAAGAATAATTTGGAAACCTCTTCGATCCAAATAAATTTGAACCAAGCATATAGTAAACCATAAAGGTTGACCTTAGATAGAGACATACCTACCCTTTATAGATCGTCCCCAATAATTAAGGCAAACAAGGGAACATTTGTATTGTAATGCTTTTTTTAAAAGAAATCATAAATGTATGCATTCATGTTTGTTTTAATTTCTAAAAGAAAAAAATTTTGTCTCATCTCTTTTTTTAAAAAAAAAATTAAAAAAAAAACTTTCCTTTTTGCCTCTTTCGTTTCCCAAGCTTTTATTATTTTATTATTCCTAAAGGTTTTTGCTTACTATTTATCATTTCTTTTTCTTTTGTTTTTTTCAAATTTCATATTGTTTCTTTATATACTAACCTTTTTTTTTGTGTTTCTTTCATATAAATTACATTGGCATACTACAATAACATAGTGAGATATTTGCTCCAAGACATCTTTCAACAAAATTTCTTTTCAGATGGATCCCATAATGTTGAAGATTTGTTTTCATCCGTGAATGCTTCACATAAGTCATTAAAAGAGATGCATGAATGGTCTAAGGAAACCTAACAAAAGGAAGGGGATTACTTGAAAAAATACATTTCAATCTTACACAAAATAATTTAGAAGATTTGGCTACGATATGGGATCAAATAAGTGAACCAAGAAAAGAGAATTTTTGTGAAAAATATGGGCAAATTGCATTTTTTATCTCAGTAGTTATTAAAGAACAATCGATTAGTGCTATTATCTAGTTTTGGGACTTGTCATATAGATGCTTCACATATAATGAAGAAGATTTGACACCAACCATCGAGTAGTATTCGATTGTATTGGGTTTAAAACTTTAGTATCCCAATAAGATATATATTAGAAAACTAAAGTCAAGGTACCATAAGAAGATAGCTAAATTAATGGGATTGAAGGTAGAGGCGTGGATGCTTTAACAAAGGACAACTATAAAAAATTGCAAAATAGGGAAAAAGATTAAAAATACACTTATGATCTAAAAATGGATGCCTGTATGAAGTGGAAAATAAAGAGCTTAGGAAGACAACAATACATAAAGAATCTAGCTAGTCAAATTTGAAAAGCAGTGAGAAAAGTAAGGAAAATAGTAAAAAAGGTAGAAACTTTAATACACGAAATCAACCCAATCGATGGTTATAAGCAATGTTTGTTAGACTTTTTGGTCCAAGCTAAATATCATTATGAGTAAATTAAATGTTTCTATAGTTACAATTCTAAAATGATAGGCTTCATGTAATCAAAAGTTGTTTAGAATCAATTAAAAGTTCTAGTGTTTGAAACATGTCAAAAGTAAATACTTCTTAATGCATACATACATTGTGCATGTTCTTTCTTTCTCAATACTTATCTTATTAAAATGGTGATTTTTTATTTTTAAAAGTTAAAATGAAAAACTTTCTTTCACAAAATAAAATGACATCTTAATTTTCCAAATTATGGTAATAAAGGTTTAAG